TTCGGGGAAGATAGTCCCATTTATACATTGTTATCGTTCACGCGTGCGTGCGTGTGTGTGTGGTGCGTGCGCGTGAGAGAGAGAGAGAGAGAGAGAGAGGGGGGGGGGGGGGGGGGTGTAAATATGTTACATTTATTGTATGAGTTGTAGCCTACACATGCCAAATATTCCCATGACTTGTAAACTATATTATCTGAACGCATCTTAATCTACCACACAATAGGACACTGTCCAACAATGGAATATACACAGAGACGATCTTATTTTCAATAACAAAGTATGCATGCTTTTACTAGTACAGAACTGGATTAATTAGACTAATAAATCCAGCTCTCTACTTACATTTTTGTGACAAATTGATCCAGAGCATTGCTTGGCAAGGAAGAACCTTTTGTTGCCAAGTTTCATTCAAATATCATGACTTTGGGAGAACATATGACTGATAATCTTTGTAAATCTGTAAAGAACGCCACTTTTTTACCTGTTAATGTTTTTACAACTCAAAAAGTATGACAGATATTAAAAATCTGACTGCATGACTAGATTCTGCATTAAAAAATGTACTAGACTGCCAAGTTTCATTTACATATTCCAAGAAATAGGCGAGCTATGACAAATATTGTTTCAAAACGCATCGAAAACCGCCACATTTTTACCTATAAACGTCTTCATAACTCAAAAAATCTGAAAGCAGGACTAGATTCTGCACTAGAAAATGTACTGGGTTGCCAAGTTTCTTTTAAATACTCCGAGAAATGAGTGAGTTATGACGAATATTGTCTCAAAACTCACCAAAAAACGTCCCATATTTTGGGGTTTTTTCATTATATAAAAGTGTACCAGAAATTAATTGATTAAAAAATCCGTAACTTTTTTGTTTATTGATGGATTTTTAAAATTCAAAAAGTTCCATGCTCAGTGAAGATAAAGCTACAAAATGCACCCACCTATTTGCAAACACTTTCTGGCAAAAAAAGGTTTTTCGTGGTCATTGCTAAAAAATGTGTCTGCCCCGGACAATATCAGTCATAAAACGCAGTGTGCTATTATAAGGTACGATGCTCGAAAGCAAAAATGTGACTTTCTATGCAATTTTGTTGTTGTTCTTTTGATAGTTTTGATATGTGTTCTGCTTCATTTTGGATCTAAATACACAACTATAATCAACTATAATTATTTTATTTTGAATTGTTTTGGAGGTGTGTGTGGTTAGATGTGAGCTAACATGACGAGGTTAAGGAATTAGGATCTCAAAATGAGTCAAAACACTTTAGAACAATTAACCTGCTGGTGTGTAGCTGTGAGATTATTTATAGAGTCATTACATTACTCAAGGCCACCTTGTTTTAGTGTCATTACTTCGCCCAAATTTTTTAGATTTTGACCCCCTTTTCAAGCATGAATGGTCGTAATTGGTCATCTTGTAAACAACTTGGTGTCTATATGCTCAACTCCTGTTTGGTACAACATGGGAAGAACAGTAACTCCTAGCCCACTTCAAGCTTGTTTAAGTTGACTGTGTTGGCGTGTCCTGCCAGCTGTGTTGTCGTCTGTTGCAGCTATTGGTCTTACAGATTTTCACTTGGATTGACTTTAGTACGTTTTTTTTTGTGGTTTAGTGATTTTTAAAGTGTAATTGATCTCCCTCTAGATCAAATCTGTGCTTTTTTCAGCGAGATCTGAACTTCTACATTCTATGTGTGTGTGCAAGTGTTATTATTGTTATTGTTTTTAGTTTTTGTCGTACATTATCTAGATCTAAATCTAGGCCTGATTACGATGGGTGCTGCCACAGTTGCTCGTGCTTTGAATTTAGCTAAGGATTGTAAAATTCCTGTTAGTGATGACACTGTAGATATGCTCAGTGATTTCTTTGCCTGGAGTTTGGAAGTTGACGATGATGAGGGGAGAAAAAGGATTTTGAGGGGGAGAGTGCTGCTGTTCAACTCGACGGACTCACTCGTCAACGTCTGAGGAGCCGTATTCATCAACAAGCTCTGGTCAAGAGGCAAACGGCGCAAAGGAGGACGTGGCTGAGCAAACTTCTGTATCAGTTGTTGATGAGAGCAGAACATATTATGTGAAGCAGCTGACCTGGAGTTTGTGAAAATTGATTCCTTAAAATGTTGTTTGTTGTCCACAGTGAAGACATCAAATTCACAAGACCCTCGTGACTGCATCTGCCAATTCTCCCGACGAGGTTTTTTTTACAAAAGGATGCAAATGAGCAGTTTGAGTGGAGGTATGTAGTGATGTTAAAAATACCTTTTCATTTATGATACGTAGGCCTATAGATCTACTTAGCACCTGAACACCTTAGTTCATGACAGGAATTTATTTTGCTTGTATGAACACGGGTGGTTACTGATAAGTAGATCTAGATCTAGGTGTCTCTGGAGGAGTCAGAAAAACGTCTAGATCTAGTTATCCTTTTTATAAGATTTCGATGTGTACAGCATGTGTTGGGTGCCTGTGTTGTTACTATTTTTAGTCACAGGCCTGAAGTGACCACAAGTTATGGACATCATGACATGTATGTGTTTGGAACCTTGTTTGTGTGGGGGGGGGGGTGGACTAAAAGATATCAACCTAATCTTTTCTCATTATTGAAGCCACGTTGTTTAGAGAATTACAATAATTTCATTCACCTTGAATTAATTTTGTCATTCTGCTATGATTGTCAACTCAATTAATTTTAATTTCATCCACAGACAAAAAAGATTTGATCATACTTGCGTCTTCTCAGCATTGACTCTGCATCTGGGGGAAGCAGCACAGCGACCTAAACAAAAACTCCAGATAGAGCGGAAGAGGACACGGTTCGTGGAGTACCAAATAGACAGCAGAATCGTGTACGGAGAGGCATTTAAGTTCCTTCTAGGGTTAATTTTAAAAAAAAAGTTTTACTTTTATTTTTGGCAATGAGTTTTATTATAATGTGGAAATGTATAGACACACTAACATTTTAGCTTCCTCTGAGCTGGCGGTTGGTGGGCGCTCTAGTGTGATTTGCTTCTTCTGTCACTCTACTTTCGTCCTTTGCTACCTGTCTTATTTTCTCATGCAGTTCAGGGCACTTATTCCTACTGTGCTGCAAGTGCTGTTACTATAAATCGTGAAGCAAAACAGTTACCACACCCTCCCTAAAAGTGTCTTTGATAAATTACTGCATCATGCATGTAATAAATTTGGAGAAAAAAAAATAATGTACCATTTACATGATATCCTTAGCAGTAGCAGTTGAACCACTGACTAATTTTAATGTCTCTTTGATAAAGAGCGAGCTACTTTTGTGTGCCCTTATAATTCCAATGTTTCTGCTTTCTTTTTAACAGGGTAAGCACTGATAAACTCACTGCTTTGAAACGCCATTTTCTGGCACATGGGAGAGAGCCTCGCACAAAGACAAGGGGAGGACGCACAAAGCTGGCCTTCACTGCGGAAAACACCTCAAGGGCCCTCAAGTTTCTCCACACCTGTGCTGAGCAGCATGCCCTTGGCCTACCAGGGAGGATGCCAGGATTCAAAAACTGGAATGTCCATCTCCTTCCCTCCTCCATGACCCACAAGAGTGTTTGAGAAGAATATTATAATGACACCAAACAAGCTGGTAAGTGGCAGAATTCTTAACATTTTTTTTCAAAAAATCCATTAAATTACAGTCGAACCTGCCATGACGGCCACCTCTATGAGACGGTCACCTGTACCAAAAGCCACTTTCCATTTCCCCCCCTTGCGTTTTTTCTATATACAGTCAAACCTGTGTAAGACGGCCAACCATGGTCAAGGAGAAAAGTGGCCTTATAAGACAGGTGGCCATCTTAGGCAGGACTGATCAAGATGAAGAAAACAAACCATTCTCTTCTGAAGTCTCAATCGATTGTTTTTGTTTTCGTTGTTGTTGATTTGTATTTTGTATGTTATTTCTATTTTGTTGCTGATTTTGCGCAAAGGGGACTATAAAACGAAATGTACGAGGAAGACCGAGTGCCGTGTTCAAACAAACACATGGGTCGCCACCACTCAGAGAACGAGCGACGCTTCTGTCACAAGTTCATGTTGACGTCCATTGTTACTTTCTTACGGACTGGGTAAACAGTGACCACTCATCTCACTTACGATTTGCGTACGAGTTCTGGGCAGGGCTTATGGGTAATGAGGGATCACACGCTAACCTAACCAGCAGCTGAAAATTGGTAGCCTACCTATTGGTCAACAGATCTACGCAACATGATCGGTTGGAGGAACTACCTAACAACAACGACAAGTGATTGGATTATGATGGCTCGCCGACAACGCCTGGGGCCAATGCACAATTTATGACAAAACGTAATGGAGTCACTAAGGTGGCCGTCTTAGATGGGTGTTATTGCTTAGTGTGATAGGGGTTGTGTGTTAAAATATGGTGGCCGCGGCCGTGTCGGACAGGTGGCCGTTTTACACAGTAAAATTTTATAGAAAAAACGCAAGGGGGGGAAATGGAAAGTGGCCGTCTTATGGAGGTTGCCGTCAGGGCAGGTTCAACTGTAATTTAACTGTGTAAAACGGACACCTGTCCAACGCAGCCGCGGCCACCATGTTTTAACACACAAACCTTATCACTCCAAACGATAACCCCTGTCTTATATGGCCACCTTAGTGACTCCATTACGTTTTGTCATAAATTATGCATTGGCCCCTGACGTTGTGGGCGAACTGTCATATTCCAATCACCTGTCGTTGGTGGTTAAATAGTCCCTTCAACCGATCATGTTGCGTTGGCCCCTCCCACTGTTGACCAATAGGTAACAAATTTTCAGCTGCTGGTGAGGTAAGCGTGTGATCTCTCATAACCCATAAGCCCCTCCCACAACTCGTACACAAATCGTAAGTGAGATGAGTGGTCACTGTTTACCCAGTCTGTAACAAAGAAACAATGGACGTCAACATGAACTTGTGACAGAAGCGTCGATCGTTCTCCGAGTGGTGGCGACCCATGTGTTTGTCTTACCCTAGCACTCGGTCCTCCTTGTCTGACACATTTCGTTTTATTGTCACCCTTGCACAAAAGCAGCAACAAAGTAAAAAAAAAAAAAGACTGAAAAAACCCAGCGAAAGCAACAACAACAACAACTATAACAACAACAACAACAACAATGGGGCGACCTCAGAAAGGAAGGGTTTGTTTTCTTCATCTTGATCAGTCCTGCCTAAGATGGCCACCTGTCTTATACGGCCGCTTTTCTACCTTGACAATAGGAGGTAGTCTTACACAGGTTCGACTGTATATAAATTTTTGGTGTTGGCAGTATAGTGTAAGCCTACCTGGCTGGATATCATGAGGTTACAGGTTTGGTGGTCAAGACCTAGGCCTGTTGAAATTTCTTTTCTTTACTCAAGTGAGAATAGATACCCGACTATTGATAGCAAAAGATTTTATTCATTATTTACTTGCTTTTTACTTTTTTTTGCTTACTCACATTTCACTTTTTCTGTCCTCTTGTACCTTTGATCATTATTTATGCAAAATACGTGTATTTGCATAGCTTGAGATTTGGTAAAAAACTGATGCATTATTTTTTTTCTCTCCTTTTAATTTTCCCCCTTATTTCTATTAATTTAGAGGTTTTAGGTCAATAGAACATACAATGTTCCGGAGAATGTGGAAAGTACACGGGCTATATTATGTACATTTTGGTGTGTAAGCCAATGACTGACTTGTGCTTCACTTGTCATAAAAACAACACGTTGGTCCAGAGATCCGTGAACTTACATGAACATAGGTATCATAATATGACAGCTCTTATTTCACTTGATCTTTCCTATTTATCAAGTAAACATAGAAATATTATTTCATGAAAATGGTTTAATTTCTTGTTATCCAGGGTAAAATTATATTATCATTTTAAAACTGAAAAGAGTATTTTGTTTCACATCAATTTTGGACAGTCACTATGCTAAAAAAAAGGAGGACCACTGAGTTGTGTCCTTGAACAAGACAATAACCCTAGCTCCCACGGGTGCTGCTCAGTGGTGACCAGAAATGGTGTTTGTGTAATTGTATAGTGCGAGTAAAAGGATGTAATGTAATAGTATTGTACTATCATGAGTATATAACGTACATTGTTGTATGAATGTTTGTGTATTATGTTTCTCATGCCATTGTACTCTAAAATTTCCTTTCTGTTATCAATGAAGGTGAATTTCTATTTTCGTTTTTCCATTTCAATGTAATTAAATCTTTAAGCCTTTTTTCAACAAATTCTCTCATTATTTTCCTTCGCCAGATACAGCAATTCTTTCTTTTTCTGCTTCAGATTCTAAATTGGAGGACCTGGAAATTCAGTGTGGCCTCCTCCAGCTGGTTCAGGCTGGGCGTGCCAAGTACCGGGAAGAGGTGGCAAAGGCCAAGGCTGTTGTCTCCCAGCATGTCCTACAAGGTTTGAGACCTGTTCAAGGGGTAGAGTGGATGCACTATTCCTTCGATTTTGCACAGAAAGTGCATTATCCCTCAAACCCCTGCAACCTGGTCCCATTTATTTCCTGGTGCAATGTATTTGGAATTTACTGTGAAGGCTTTCCCGAATAAGAGATGCACATGTTTTCAGCTGAGTGCTCAGTATTATAAATTTTTTGCTAAAGTTTGATTGTACTTGTGGTATGTGGTACTGTAAGACCATTTAATTGCTATGAAGTACGTTAGGAAATAGTAACAGGATTTTGGTCCTGTTCTACCACCATACCGATAAAGGTGTCAAAACTACCTGATTTGTGATGTGTGCCGAAAGAAGAAAAAGAAAAAAAAAAAGATTCTTCAGTGTTTCCAATCTTCTTTGTTTTTGCGTAAATTCGTACGTTGCGAAAGTTCCGTACTTGCTGCATCATCATATCAACTCCATGCGTTCAAGAGAGAAAGAGAGAGAGAGAGAGAGAGAGAGATAGATATCCGCACTTGCCTCTGTAACTTGTCAGATATTTACGGCAACTCTCAGGAATAAGTAAGTAGTATTGGAAACTGCCAGATTGTGCCTTTCGTGCACTCGACTATTGTCTATCTCTGCCGTTCGGTCAGCAATAGTTTTTCACATGCATATCGGCTAAAATCTGTCGACTCTCGATAGATAATCTTCCTCCTTCCTTTTATTCATTCATTCTTTCTTTACCGCTCAGAATTGTCTGATGGTAGTTTGTTAACGTTAGATTTACAGTTAATAAAAAATTGTAACATGCAGTTTATTCATAAAAAACACAGTGTCGCCATACAAATTAAATCTATATTCTCACTGATGTCACTATAATGACAAAAAAAGGAAGAAAAAGAAAACAAGCGTCCTCCAATTTCTAGATTGTCGGGCCCGTCATCGTGACCGGTCAGTGAACCTGTGCGAGTTTGCATCGTGTGAGTGTGGCATGAGTAAGGGTCCAGCCGGTGGTTGTTGGGGTAATCAAAGTTCATTCAAAGTAGGAGCATTAAAATTGCAGGGCTTCGGAATTGAGAGGAGGCATTTGATGCAATAAAGTCTACAGCAGTAGGATACGGCCGCAGTGCAAGAAACTGATGCTAAAATAAAAGCTATAGGTGGAAATGGTTTTGACATTCGACGATGGAGTGCGTAAATGAGGGAACATTAGAGTACAGGCTTGATGATTGTATCTTCAAGGTTGGTGTTCCCCGATTTGTCGGATTTATCAGTGATGACAAATTGAATAGTGGCAATGAGGAAATGCCATTTTCAACCCTCGAAAACCTCTATGTTGGACGTCTATGCATCAAGATGGCTTGTTGCTGATTAAAAACTAGTACTGTGATTTAACATTTTGAAAAAAATCAATACTTCTGTCCATGGTGCAGTGATTCACTAATTGCCTGGTTTTCAGTATCACTACATCCCACGCTCTCACAGTCCTTCCAGCTCCGGGTCTCAGTACACGCTCTCTTCTATTGTCACTTTTTGCTCTGCCGT